TGGACCCCAGGCTGAACATGGTACCTATTCCGACAGGAGTCCTGATGGAACAGGGACAAGCCCCATGCCCCCAGCTAAAATGCTGCTGTTTGTTGTATTTTAAAAAAGGGTCAAGTACAAGTTATTGTTTTATATGGCCATTTTGGTTTTGACTCCCCAGAAATAACAAAAAAAGGTACTCCCAAATTCTCTATTACATTTGCTTCTGGCATCAAGCACTGGCCTAGTTTGTAGAAAGACCTGAGGCTCCATAAAAACCTTTGGATGTCAGCTGCTTTTGGAGTCCTCAGCTCTTTGGGAAGAATGAGTCCACTTCAGCAAATGCCAAAAGCAGGTGGCCCCAGGCATTACGATGGCGTGACATGGATGTAGAAAGCTGCCTCCAAACACCACCATAGTGAGATGGGTTCTCACCTTGCTCATCTTGTGCTCAGGGGATGCAAAAGCACCCTTTTCCCTGGTGGGGATCTCTCTTGATTAACTGTGCTCAAGAGTACTGAAGAGCTACTTAGATCTGGGAACACAAACCTTTTTATACGCAGATGAAGAAGAACAAGGAAGTAAATCTCAGCGAGTAATGCAAAAAGCGAGAGCTGAAGGGGTGCAAGACAGACTCCAGCATCAGTGGTCTTAAACTACTGACACAGCCTGAACACAAACTCCATACTCACAGTTCACCAACTTTCCTTTCTCTACACTTGCTTGTTTCTCTGAGCTAGGCATTTGTTATCAATAAATAGGACTTGAGTATTATCTTTCAGATGTAGTTGTTGTTCTGAGACACTGGCGACTGCCTCTGGTTGTCACTCCAGGTCCCCTGAGGAGTCAACTGTAGCTCTGCAAGCCAGCAGCGCAGGCAGCAGCTCCAGCAGCCTGAACATAAGTGGTCTAAGACCCAAGTCTGAATTTAAGAGGAAATGATTAATGGATTTGCTCTCCCAACACAGCAACAAGGAAGTTCTCAGCAAAACTGTCAGAAGAAAAAGCAGTTCTGTTGTGCAGTCAGAAATTACATTGTGCAATGTCTCACGGGGCATCATGGAAACCAAAATGAGCCACTTCAGAAGGGGGTGGTGCTAATTCTGAGGCATTGGACCCATGTGAAGGTGTGAGGCTCCAGGAAACCAGACAATACCCCTTTCCAGGACATCCCCTGGGGCAGACCTTTCTTCCACCAGGAAAGGAGGCATGTGCCAGCTGATCCAGAAGGTTTAGAAGGGCTGTTACCTGTTTACCATAGGCCCCAGCAGGCAGATAGAGAAAGGAGGCGAGGACATTCATCTTCCAGTCATCACTTTCCCTGACTCACAAAAGCAAGCAAAGCTCAACTCCCCAACCATGTGCCCCTCTGAGCATGGCTGATGAAGGTACTATAGGCTCACAATTAAAATGTGTAATGTAAAAGTGCATGATACCTCCCTGGGCAGCATCCCCTGTACCCTTATTTCCTTATTCTTAGCTGCAAACAATGGTTTGCACACATTTTTCCAATTAAACTGAGCAAGTCTAAACAGCTAATTAACAAGAGGAGATATTCATTACCCTGCTTTTAAGAGATATTAAACCATCTGAGACAGACCAATGACCTCTCCCATCAGAAAGAGAACACCAGGTGCTAATTAACTTTAGATTACATAAACTAATTCCGTGGTGAAGCTGCAAATCTGTATTCCTGACATTTAACTAAACCTGTTTATACAGCGAGCTCAGGAAAAAAACAAACACACACAAAAAACCCACCGCCCAAAACCCCCATGTTTGTACTCAGATACCACTTCTGCAGGCCAAGTAAGCAGAGCTGGGAAAAAAGAGCAAAGATGCTTCAAACACAGGGTGCAGTGTAGGAAGAGGGAGGTGAAGGACACAGGAAAGAGCTCTTTTAAGCTGGTAAACAGAGCACAGGCAGCCACAGGAAATGATTAAGAGGCTCCAAAGTTATCTCTAATTCCCATGAAGTAGCACAGCTGACTGCCCCCCTTGTTTTGAAAGCAGTGCTGGCTGCTTGGGTCCATGTGGACACGCTGAGGGGGAACGAGATGGGAGTGCTCAGGGCTCAGCAGCCTTGGCTTCCTTGGCCCGAGCTCGGCAAAGAGCCAAGCACTTGTTTCTTCGTTGGCCTAGCTGGGTAAACGCACAGAATGGTGCCTGGGAGATTAGATAAAACCCACTCATCCCCTTAAATCTGCCCCCAATATGGAATATAAAAAGAGAGAATTACACTTATCATACTTCAAAGATATTTATTTAACAAACTTCAGGAATATTGCTTGACACTTCCACAGGCTTCAGAAAATGAAGTTACCCATTGCTGCATAGGTTGCCATATAAAAGGACATCTACAAGATAATCAACCCTATACTCTAATATTTAGCCATCAAAACACATCTTCTCCCAGCATTAGTAAGTCAAGCAGTATACAAAGCCAGCTGGAAAAAAAGTTATTGTATTTTCCCATGAGGATTCCCGACCTCCCCCAACAGAAGGCATCTTCTTCGGCTACCAGAGGGCATCCCAAAATCATTCACAATTGCACCAAGTCTTGGGTGGACTCAATGGCCAGTTGTCTACTGCCTCTCCCTAAACTGAGTGGGAGGCACCAGCCTGGGACTCAGTCTGGCTGTGCTGCCTTCCCCCAGGGAGGGGGCTGTGGACACAGCCTCCCACTACCATGAGAGAGGAGGACACATGCAGAATTATTTCCAGTTTTGGTTGTCACCAAGGCACTCTGAAGTTACATCCATGTTTCTAGACAAGCCATGCACACCCTTAACCTTATGTAGGGGAACTGTCCTGCCAGGCATGGGCAACCCTAGGCACCACAGCTGATTTATTGGTTAGTTAAGGCACTCTGCCACCTGGTAACACTAAAGTGCAACAATTTTGGACTGGACCTTGCAGGCTCTCTCTGGGGTAAGTGGCTCTGCTAGAGCCAACAACGTTCACACAAGAGTCTGCAAGTTCAGCCCACCAGCATGTCTTCAACAGTGCAATTCAGCAAATCAACAGCACCTTCACAAAGATAGACACAACCACAGTGCAGTCTTCCACAGACAGGTTACGGGTACAAGTCCTTGTCCTTGAGAGCAGGTCAAGAAACCCTGACAGAACCCCAGACATTGCAAGAGCCTTGGGAATTATTGTCTGGGTAGCAAAGCTCTGTGCATTATCAAGCCAGAAAAACAGGCAGGTTCATGTGCAAAGGCACAACTGGCACCATCCAAAGCAAGCCTGGTCTGAAACTGCCTCACAAAACAGGCTTAGGAGTGTTGTAAAAAGCTACAGAAATCTGAGAAGGTATGGAGACTATTCTCACGAGGGCAAGAAAGTTCACCAGCAGCACACTCAGCAAGTATGGATCTGTGCTCAGGCAGGACTTAAGATTCCCAGTTTTCAAAGACAAAGCTGTTTACTCATGGCTTGCCTACACAGCCTTCTTTGCCTTTGTGCTATGATGCTTTTTTTTCAGGTGAAACATTCTGTCAAACTTGCTGCACAGGAAATGAAAACTTTACTCAGCAGCTATCAGTCAAGCTACAGAGATGAAACATGTAGAAACATTTGTCCTAAAACAAGAATACAGGCAGCTTTACCAGAAGATACAAAACAAACATTAAACCAGAAATCCTGAAATACTCAAGACATTTTTGCCTGTGTCCAACCAACTGCTAGATGTTGAACAGGGAGGACACATGTAGAACAACCAACCTCTAAGGTCCCCTGCTAAGGTCTTCTCTCCATACGATGAGAGACTTCAAAACTGCAGCAATTTTAGAGATATTAACTCAGGCAGCAGCAGGAGGAAGACCAGCCTTATATAATTTTGGCTAAGTCTCTGTATTTCCACCAGCTATGACAGATTAAAATTGCCTCCATCAGCCTCTCCTTAGGCAATCATGGTTTTTTTCTCCACCCAGACCCACTGTTAATCAGGGGAAGAAAAGGACTTGATCTGGTCTGGAGGATCTAGAACTTTCTTCTCACAAAAGAAATGCTGCAGGAGACTCTCAGCTACAGGATAAGCAGATTTCCCACTGCCCCAGCAGGAAACCCTCACAACAAAAACAGACCTCAGAAGGTGTGGTGGTCTCAGCATGGTCTCCCCAGCCACACCTAAAGTCCCTGCAGAGCTTGTCTCTCTTGCTTCAAAGGGACAGAAAAAGATATCAGAAGAGCAATGCCCCATTACAGTGAATTTTGCAAGGGCTGTGAGAGCCAGTTTAGGGGATACGACTGGCATGCGTCCTGCAGGGGTGGCAGAGGAGCAAGCACAGGAACATGCAGTGCTGCCAGAGGAAGGCATCACAACCCTTCCCCATACACCTGCATCACCCAGCACCTGCCCTTGGCCCCAGGGTAGTAACAACTCCCTGCATCTCTGTCAGAAGTGTCCAAAAAACTCAGAGGAAGGAACAGGTGCACAGAATGTGCCAGCAGGAAACAAAACAGGTGACCAGATCAAGAGCTGTGTGTCTTCTCTTTTGAAAGAGAAATGGGGGAATGATGAGATCAAGTGAAGATTTTCAATACACCACAGCAGTGAGCATGGCCAGGCACAAATCATCTATCCCTGAGACAGACCAAAGCCATGAGACACAACAAAGTTGTGTCACAGACTTCACAAGCTTCGGAGTCCAGGGCAAAGCAAAACAACACCAAAACCACAGCAACGTGCCTTTGTGCAAGCCCCAAAAAAGCCCACGTGTGTAGGTCGCAGTCTGCCACCCCTCCACACATTTAAAAGGACCTCCTCTTCCTAATCCCTCCAGAAAACTGCCCTGCAATGGCAGCCAGTCCCAGTCTGTGCTCTGCTCGTGCTGCGCAGCCCTCTGTGCTGGCCAGTGGGTGGGTATGTCTTCTACAGGTAACAAGACTGACTCATGCTTCCCCTTCTTGCACACAATTTAAGACACGGTGTCCTTTTCAAACTTCATTAGACTCCCTTTATTCCAGTCTAATTGGCAAAGCTGATTACACAAAGGCAGAGGGTACACCCTTTGCACCTAGACTACGCCTACCCTGTTCTTGGGGTGCGTGAGGCTGTTGATGTGAAGTCCACTGATCCCATTAAGGAAGAAGAGAAAGGCAGCGATGAACTCGCACCAGTACGTCAGCGTGAAGCCCATGAGGGTGAGGTGATCCTTCACGAGGATGGAGAAGCTCAGAACCCCGGTAGCTGACAGCAAAAACGAGCAGAAGATGAGAACGGAGCCCATCGACCACTTCCGCCTCGCGTTGGCATCCTCGCAGACCTGGGACACCATCAGCAGCTCCAGGCCAAATATAGCAACCACAACGGCGAAGGACACCATGCTTCTCACAGGAATCACCCCCACGCTCAGCCCCTCCACCCTGGCCAGGCCGAGGTCGGTGACACACTTCAGGACGCTGCCGTTGCTAACGGTGCAGAAGTGCCACAGTCCGAAGAGCTGCCCCCGCGCGAAGAGCCAGCGGCCGTCGCAGACTGAGATGGACGACAAGACCACCGCTATGGCCACGCACAAGATGATCAGGCTCCTGATGAGCGTCTCAAAGAATTTCTGTGGTCTCCTGTGCGCCAGCATCCTCTGCGCCTTAAAGGACAGTGGTGGAGGCGGAGGGGAAAAAAAAAAAAAAAAGAGTTAACATCGCTGCTTAAGGGTGGGATGTAACTGGAGAGACAAAGCTGTAGGACTTCGGTGTTTGAAGCGGTTTACTTGCTCACATCAAACCCTTTCTCGCAGAGGAGGGCAGAGCAGGTACAGGCTGTACCCAGCAGAGAGGAAGGGTGGGCGAAGCTCTCCCGGTTCCCTAGCTGCACGAACAATGCTCACACGTCAAGGGCCGGGCTGGAGATCACAAAGGCTCCCGCCGGAGCAAGATCCCCGCGCCAGTGTCCCGCAGTACAGCCTCCCGCTCTGGCAGGGCTGGAGGAAACCACCGGCCCCCGGGAGGATGGAGGCCGAGGGCTGGGGTGGGAAGAGG